GAAACAGAGGCCGAAGCATATACTCGCTGTCCTATCTGGCAAAAGACAGACACTGACAGTGAGGTGGGACAAGGACCAAACTTGGGGCTCCCGACAAAGTGTCTCTGGCTTATTTTGGACCCTAGAGTGTTGTTTATGCATCCCAACATGTCTCCGCAGTTGATCACCTCAGTCCATTCTCAGAGTGGAGGCAGGTGGCATGGAACATAGACACAACCTCTCTGAGCAATAGTCGTCAAGAGATGGCCCTGTGAGGCAGCTATTCTTAGGGGAACTGACGTCTTCTTTCAACTCAATTCTGCCTGTCCTTTGCCTATTAGATTTCTGCTGTGAAACCCTGACTTTGGGTACCTCACACTGAAGGAACCTCTCTAATCTGAAATCCCTCCCATTTACATTTACTCATCATAAGTGGCTTACAGAACTCTGCTAGAAATTAGGGTATCAAAAGGTTAAATGATGTCCCTATGGTTTAGGTACTCCCCAAATACTGCCTCTATTCATCAAGAACTTGAAATTCCCTGCCAGGGTAGAAAAGAGGGAAGGTTCTCCCACGGCGTCAAGGGATTTCAAATTAAATTTCTGGAATTAAACATTCTGTATGGTGGGGTCGATCATTCGCCTGACAAACATTTATGGAGCACCCATTCTGTGCCAGAAACGGCGCAAGGCACAGGGGAGAGGCAAGGCCTGCAAGCTCACAGTTTAATGGGAGAGACAGATACAAGCAGGAAATGATTCCAGAACATGCTCTGGGTGCTGTGGAGACACCAAGGAGAGGTGGCTCTTCCCATTCTGGGCGGAGAAGGCAGGTCAAGCTTTCTGGAGGAAGCAGAACAGCTTGTTCCTCTAACCACTTAAGGTTAGGTTGCATTTCTCAGGCATTCAAGGAAAAAAAATAAGTTTACATTTCCAAAGCTTGCTTTGTTTCAGTTTTACCAGCTCCCTTGGCTTCTATAAAATAGAGATGGGAAACTGCCCTCCTCGCTCAGACTACCCAGATGTGGAAACCAATTAAACAGCAACTAGCAGCTCAATTAACCCTTGGTCCTTTAGTCGATTATCTCAGTGGCAACCTATCCTATAATGTCTTCATTAAATGAGTCCTTCAACTAGGAGAGTTTTCATCCCTGCTGTCGATGCAGCCCTTTTATTTCTTAGCTGCAATATTTGCTAGGACTTGCCTCAGATGAAAACCGAATAATTCAGAAAAGTTCTTAGTCACCGTTTCTGTTGTTGTTGTTGTTGTTGTTGTTGTTGTTTTTGCCTTAGATACCAGTAGTTTTGCTATATTGCCATTTGCTAATGAAATTTCAGAGAGGCCTTTGCCGGTTGGTATTAAATTGGCCCCAGTCACACTATCCCACTAACCTGTCTTTTCTTTTTTCAATGACACTTACTGCTAAGAGTGTTATTTGTTTACTCTTTCTTGTCTCCCCCACTAGTTTGTAAGCTTCATGAGAAAAGGACCCTCCCTCCCCCTTCACCATTTAATCCACAGCACTTTTAACAGTGGAAGGCCCAGGGTCAGGGCCCAATAAATGTTTGTTAAATGAATTGCTACTATTTATCGAGCATTTACTATGTGCTAAGATCTACAATTCTATGATCTCACCTAATCCTCATACCAACCTTATGAGCTAGGTGCTGTTATTATCCTCCATTTTACAGATAACAAAATAAAGGCTGAGAATGGTCAAGAAATTTGCCCCAGGTCACTCACATAAAGGCAGAGGTGAGACTCCAAAGTCTGTGCCCTTTACCATTATGACAAAACTACCCTCATGCACATTCTGGTTACTACTTTGGAGTAAGAATAGTCTCATCAAAATCTTATCATGTAACCTAGAGTCTCAGATTGAAGAAGATTTTCTCAAATGCCATGGACACTCATGAAAGCTTAGTACGAAAACTGCTAAAGAAGAAACCCAGAAGTGATGCCCAACATCAAACTCATAGAGATGAGAGAGAGAGAGAGAGAATGAGAGAAGTTTCTATTTCCTGCCAGCTCCGTGTTTATAAATACTATATTAAAGTGGTTTCTCTCCCGCCCATAAGAAAGCCGTGAAGATATTATCACTTAATGACAGTGCCCTGAGAACAGGGACATCGATACCAAAGGAGCAAGTGATACATAACTTCTGCTGCTCTGTGAGATCATGTTTTATAAAGATTACCAAACTTTTATCATCTATCCTAGACTGAGCAGAACCATATTTGCTCAGCACTCTGAGTAATGGACAGGAATAGATGGATAAGGGCCCTTAAACTCCTGGTTAGAAGACATTAAAAGTTTATGAGCCCTATATAGCTGAGTCAAATGCATGTGCCCATGCTATATAATTAGCAGGCATAACAACAATAAATATGTAATTTAAAGGGAAGACCAGCAGGACAAGAATATGAACCGGCACTCTCCCTCCCATGTGTAGCCATTTCCCACTTAGTCTTCAGCTTTGTAAATGGTAAGTTGTTGGCCTTGTGCTTATTTTAGTATAACGAAGGTTTGGATCTCTCTATTTCTTTTCTAAGCAGTTTATGCTTCCCTCCGAAGTCATCTTTTAGGCATAAGTAATTCATTGCTCTACTACTAAAATTTGTTTCACTTTGTCTATAGAGACTTAATAAATCAGCCTAGTTATTGTTTAGGGAGGTCACCCTCAGGTTTTCATGTATAAAAAATGAGCATCCATGTTACTAAGTGGAAGTGAATGGTCACCTCGCCTGCAAGGGAGTTCCCTGGAGACCAGGGAATACACCGAGGAAGATGCTTGCTCTGAACATCCAAGGAGCTTTCCTGTCTGTCACATGGAGTTCTCCTGTCTTGACTATCATGACTTAAGGGGGATTGCTTGGGGTGCAGAACAGGGTAGGAAAGAAGTCAAATCATAGGGTCAAAAACCCATCCTGAAAAGAAAATCCCAAGGAGTGATGACCCTAGATTAAAAATATGGCCATTTGGGATAAGCTCTTTACTGGAAGTCACCTGTGTTCTAGCAATTTCTGGCCACTCTGCATTTCAGGGGACCCTGAAGAGGCAGTTTCAATTTGCAGTTAGAAAAACTCACAAGTTCCTCTACCTGCTGGGCACCAGCTCAGTGTGAAGGGCATGGCTTTGTTTTGTTTTGTTCGACACCTATCAGTCCACCTTTATACTTGCTTGGTTTATAGGGTTAGGGCCTCAGTCTTTCCTCTTAGGAGTCTTCTTTGATTTCAGTCTGGGCCTCCCTTCAGCCAAAAGTTTAGAATTCTTCCCCTGGGCTATGACAACTGGATAGAAATCCCCCTGCCCTCCACTTCCCCTTCTGGAGCTCTCCTTCTTGGTGTTGATGCCACAAACTTAGAGGGCAAAGTACAAATTATCAGCTGTGACATCACCAACTGAGATTCTGGACTGACCTCAACTCTGACCTAAGAGGAGGAAAATTAAAAGTCAAACACTCTTCCATTCCAGGCATCTCCTTTGGCAGCGCCAGAATTAAAAACAAAAACAATGAAAGGCAAAGTCAGCCATACTGGTACATACAGACTGTCTTTAAAATGAGGCCTAAGAAGTCAATTGCTCTTCTTGGAATTGGGACTAATAAAAACAAAGCCATTTCCTCTTCTCCAGTGACTAAAAGCTTGAACTCCAGAGCCTGCTTGGGTTCAGTTTTGTCACTTAATATCTGTGTAATCTTGGGCAAATTACATAAATGCTGGGTACCTTGGTTTCCCCATCTATATAAGGGAATAATAGTATAGGTACCTACCTAATTGGGTTGCTAGGATTAGCTGAGTTAACATATAAAGTGCTAAGAACAGTGACTAACACATTAAGTGCTAATTTTAAATTTTAGCTATTATGATTATGTTAAACCACGTTTAAACTCGACTGCTTTTATGCCTTTCCAGTACCCACCTGGTCTCATCCACTGACTATTTATTTGCCATTGAAAGCTGGCCCCCCTCGCCCCCGCCCAATGGCTTTCCAATCAGATTGCAAGGATGTCTAGCCATAGTACTATTCTAAATAATTAATGGTTTGCTGACTCCTGAAATTGGAGTCTGGGAGGCAGTTTGCTGTTGAACGTATGTCACACCCTAACCTTTCCCAGGAGGAGATCAAGTACTTTCCTTCCGCCCTTTGCACTGAAGCCATGTCATCTTTCAGAGAAATTCAACTACCCAATGGTTTCTTTTCTAGATTTGACACCATGCAGTTGCCCATCCCCCACATCTCTTCCCCATTACTAGTTCACTGGGTTATCATTTCTGTCAAGAAAGCCCATGAGGTTTTGTATTTAATATCACACAGGATTTTAATCAATTGTTCACTTGGTTGGTGATGGCTTGCAAAGTCAGGCCCTGGGAGCCAATATGCGGTTCCCTTTCTGAGAAGAGGATTCAGGATCACCTGGTTCCATCATCCTGGGCACACAGAGTTAAGAACCCACTGCTATCTATCCACCTTCCAGGAGAAGGCTGAAGGGCATCCTTCAATCAAGCAAAGCCCAAGGAGGCAGCACCAGTCCTTCGGCTCCCTTCCTCCCCTCCCACTTACCCAAGGCTCAGGTCTTAAGAGTTTGGAGCCTCTGGCTGCTGCTATTAGGCTCGAGAGACCCAGGGGGCAGAACCACAGTCAATGTGCCCAGCAATTGGAAAGATGCCAACTATAAATCCAGTGGAGCAAAGCAAAGAGCACAAGGCAGTAAGGTTCACTTCAAGAGAGGTTCAGGAATGGTTTGGTCAAGAGGCTCAATCAGTGAACAGCCCCCCAGTCAGTAACAATGCCACGCAGAACAGGATGGAGATCAACCACTTTACCCTCCAAAAGTCTGTCGCCAGAAAAACCATCTCTGGCAACAGACATTTAATGAACTCCTCCATCCACAGACGGACCTAACTTTTCGCTCAGGTCCTGGCACATTCACCAGGTTCATTCTAGAAAATCACCCCCTGGGAAACTCAGGGCGGGATTTCTCTTCACCCCGTTCATGGGTGGTGGCCCGCGCTCTTACCATTGGCGTTCTTGCCGCAGATGAGATGCTCATAGGGCTGTAGGACGCCCCAGAGCTCCGCGTCGTTGTTGATGACCATCTCCAGGGCCTCCGCGGACACCTCCCCGCCTCCTGCCCCTCCACCGTCAGGGCTCTGGCTGGTCAGCACCCTGGTCCGGATCTCCTCCACTAGGTTCTCCATGCAGGCCGTGAGAGAGATGGCAGCGTACTCGTGGATGCGCACCGAGATGCGAGTGTCCACCATCCAGCGGAAAAAGCGGCCCACTGAGAAGGTGAGGCCGCAGCGCGCAGACTTGCCCCTGCGCAGCCCGTCGCCAGCGCTCATGCTGTAAAGGGATAGCGCCTTGACCGCGGCCAGCGCACAGCTCTCGGCCAGCGCCCAGCTGTGCACCAGGCGCACGGCGCTCTGCACCTCGAAGCGGGTGCACTTAGCATGCAGTACGCTCAGGCGCTGCGCCTCGCGGGCCACCCGGATGAGCGCCCTTCGGAGGAGCCCCGCCAGGCGCCTCACCGCCTCTGTGGAGAAGAGGGGCAGCCGCCGGCCTCCGGCGCCTTTGCGAAGCACCCGGGCCACGTCTCCCTCGGTCCAGGGGAACTCCTCCAGCTCGGGGAGGCGCGGGCAGCGGGAGAAGAGGTCTGCCACTTCGGGGTCTTCGGGCAGCACCGTGTTCACCGTGTCCCAGCTGTTGTGGCGGCTGTTCATGGAGCCGGAGTAGCACCACCAGGCCGCCCCACGATGCTGCTGCGCCGAAGAGTTGAGCGCCTGCGAGTTAGACTTGGAGGACGAGAGGCTGAGCGAGCGGCACGAGTCCCCGGCCCCATACCCGGAGTCCAAGGTCAAGTCCTCCAACGTCTTCAGAGTGGAGCTGTATGTCCCGGCCATGGGGATCCTGCCGGAGGCGGCCTCGTCGAGCGAGGGGCGCTCACAACTCCATGCTCCCTTCCTCAAGTGGACAGAAACAAGCTCTAGGCTCTCCGGGGCGCCCCTCTTTCTCTCGCGGCCGCGGGACTTGGCGGCTGCATCGCCCGCCCTCCCGCCGGGCGGCCACGGGAAGGTGGGCGAGATTCGCCGCGGCTGGAGCCCCACGCGCTTCGTGTCCCGACGCAAAGCTGTCACTGAAATGGCCCCCCACCGCTCCTCCTCCTTGCGCCCCCTTGTCCACTTCAAATTCCCGCAAGCAGAGCGTCTGTCCTCCGCAGACAAGGAATCCCGAGAGAACAGGGCGGCGGCGGCGGCGGCGGCGGCGGCGGCGGCGGCGGCAGAAGGAGGCGGCTCCCGGAGCTGAGCGAGTCCCGGACCAGCCGGCAAGAAAGCGCTGGGCAAACTTCTACTCGGCCGCCGCCGGCTGCACAGCTGGGGACCCGGCGGCCGCCGGCATGCAAATAACCTAGAGAGGCCCACCAATCATCGGCCGCGACGGGGAGGGGCTACACCAATGATCTCTTAGAGGGGCGGTCACTATGTAGATTTCACTCCGCCGCGGGTGAAACCCTTCGGCTGCGAAGGCGGGGCTGGAGGCCGAGAGTCGGGTGCGGCGCCTGGGATGAGGGTGGAGGAGGGGGGAAGAGAAAACAGAGCGAGTGAGAGTGCGGGAGGTGGGAGCAGAGACGAGGGAAGGAGGGGTAGTAACGTCAGGCTTGGTAGCTATTAAAGAAAAACGTAAAGGAAAAGCTACTGTGCGTTTCCCCCTTCCCGCCATCCAGAGTTTGGGCGTCCGCAGCTCCGTTTCAAGACTTCTGCAGCGCAACGCCAGCGCGTGTGTTTCAACTGTGGGTCCGGGATGTGGGGGTGGAGCAAGTAGCCTGGGGGAGGGGACCCAACCCAGGTACTCCACCTCTCTCCTACACTTTCTGCTAAGCCCCTCCCGTTTTCCGAGATGAAACTCGTTATGTTTGGAGCGTGGAGGGACGCCTCTGCTTGCTTCTCCTCCCAAATCTGTCTAGTTCCTTATGTCCCCATCTAGACTCCAATGAAACTAGAATTTCTTCTTAACCTGGAACCTAATAAATGGACAGGCTCCAGGAGGCGCGTGACCCCCTCCCCCAGCGTGAAACTATACAAGCGATTTTCTGAGTATTACTCGGGGGAGAGAGTCCTAACGGATCAGATTCTCAAAAGTCCGTGACTCCCCTGTTACATCTATCTGTACAATACTGCTTGCTGTCAGGTGGATCATTTTTGTCCGAAGTGCGCGTGTTCGAGTGTGTGTGTGTGTGTGTATGTGTGTGTGTGTGTGTCTAGTTATTAACAGGAAGAATGCGAAGGTGAGAAATGTCCCCAGCACTGACCTGAGCTCGGAACACTTGAATACACCACCTACCTAACGGTGGGCCCAGGGGTGAGCGATATGCTTCCCCCTCAGGACTTGGTTTCTTACAGGGTGAAAGGAATGGTGCTGACCTCCAAGCTGCGTTGTTGTAAACCTGTCTCAGAGTGTGTGTTCACAGGCGGTCAGTCAGAGCGCTATTGGTTCTAGCAGATTTCACGCCTAGTCTACTCGGTCCCGCCGCTGTCCTGTAACTATTCACACACGTGCACGAACGTGCATGTGCCTCCTCCAGTGGCACCACAAAATCAAGGAGATTGTGCACGCGTTTTCCCCAAGTCAGCCTCCACGCTTCTGAATGGCTCCTTTGTATTGAATCTTACACAGTTATGACCTTGGGCCGTGAGTTGGATACGAACTAGAGATATCTAATTTGTCTCCTTCCTTCTTAAATTAATGGCCCTTTCCCCATGAAACTCCTTTTTCTTCGGCAGTTGGGCTTAATTTTTCCTACTTGCGAGTCTTTATTTATGCAATATCGCCGCCCCGTGGTTAGAATTGGGAACGGAGTTAAAGGATGGAAGTAAAGTAATATGAAAGACACACGTTGGCTGAGATCTAATTAAAAAGTGTAACTATATCTTATAGAATTGAGATAATAAGTCAAAGTGGGTAATGAGGTTCAACTTGTCAAAAATACGAAAACAAATTGGACGCAATTGAAAACTTATTAAGGGAAAGAAAATAGTAAGGCAAATGTCGCCCTCTAATGGATGTTAGAGGAAATAAATCCCCCAGTTCTTTTTTTCTACTTTTTCTATTTTTTGTGCGTGTGTGTGTGTGCTCGCCCTAAAAAAGTAACTGGAAATTTACGATAGAGAACTTACTGAATGGAAAGGTTATCTGGAAAACTATCTGGGGTATTCCGAGAAAAGAGCAGATATGATTTATCTTAATACATTCAAGTTACCTGGTGACTTAAAAGTGTAAAGATAATCAAACATACCAACAGCTAAATTCTAGAAACCTGTGGATGTTAAATTGCACCATAAGAATTTGTTCATAAAAATTCAGCTTTGGGAAATGCTACTGGACAAACAACTGAGTTTCATTAATAACTTGTAAGGAAATCAGTCGATGGAGAGGAAACCTATACACTTAAAAGAGACTTAGAAGACATATTAACCAATCACAACACATGAAATTTATTTAGAATTGAATTTTAAAATTCAATAAACATTTGACCTTATGAAACAATTGGAAATAGGGAACAGTGCCTGGATATTTGCTATCATGAAATCATTGTTCCTTTTTTTGATGTAGTAATGGTGGTGAGGTTATGTTTACTAAATGTTCTTATCTTTGAGAGGCAAATACTAAAATAAGTGTTCTGTAATTTTCTACATTAAAAAAGGAGGGAAAAAAAATCCTTAGGGAAAATTCTAGTAAAGGGAGTGGAAAGTTATGAAAGATGATTAAGATTGTAGATCTCTTGTCTTTCACATGCTCCCCAAAGTCATCTATAGTCCACTTGAGGAGTAGAGATACAGAGTGAACCCAGAGTGTGTCTGCGTTTGTGTTTTGCATGATAGAAGAGAAAGAAAAGGAAGAAAGTTAGTGATAGAGAACAAGATACACTGAGTCATCATAGAAATAAACTGATCGGTTTCAGCTGAATCTTTTGGGAAGTTGGCAAGTGGGTGAATTATAAAACTTTGGATCAAGAAAGGACATGCCTTTTTTTATGTATACATGTGTTGTTTAATTAAGGCAATCTGGTTGTAATGTGTTTAACCTTAGCAATGCAAATTAGATCAGAAGAAAAGAAAGTGTCATCCCAATTCAGGCCTTTTCCAAACATAATCTTTGAAGAAAAACAACTGTCAAATAGCTGGACGAGTTAAAAAGAACATGATGAAACCATAGAAAATATTGGGAGAATTCCCAGTGGAGTGAGCAATAAAAAAAAAAAAAAAAACAACAGATCTGGAATTGCCCATGCAAAAGCCTTGTAATACAAGAAGCCTGGAATAAAAGTTATAAATGTTACCTAGGGCAAGGTCTCACATTTGGTTATAGAGTTTCTTAAAAAATCAAAAACAATCTGGAGATTAGAGGACAATATACCCTAGAATTTATCTTGAAAGTGAAGGTGTTAATTATTCCAATTATTCGAGTACAGACAGAACTCTGATGAAAAAAGTAGATTATGGCCTTAACTTTGGAGAGTGTCCAAGTTTTAATTTAGTTTGTGCATAATTTTTGGTACATTCTCTCAGCAACATTAACACCTACCAGGTCAAGAACTGTGCTAGACACCATGGAGGTACATTAGGCAAGGTTCCTGCCATAAAAAAATGGATAGCCAACATATAGAGATGGGCACACAAGACTAGCTATTCTGCTAAACGTGCTTTGCAGAGCTGCTCGAAAACCACGCACCGACGGCCATTGCTAGTTCTTTGACTCACCACACAGGCTGGTGCATCTACAGAAGGAATGGTACAAACACAAGGGAAATAATCTGTGGAATACATGGAGAGCTGAAAAAGGTGCTGGTAGGTAAACAAGCGTGCCTTGGTTAGCAGAACAGCTTTGTAGCTGAAAAATCAAACAGGACAATCTGTTGTTGAAAAAGGAACTGATGGTGTGGGAAGCCTGAGGCCATCCTTCCGTTCCCTGTAATCCAGGTTCGCCCATTTCCAACACAGGTATTGTTTTCTGGACCTCACTACTAAAGAGACATACAGATCATTTGAATCAAAGCCTCCAAGATGACTAAGGGGGGAAAAAAAATTATACTTCTCCAAAGTATGTTCTGCAGAATAATTAGTCTCATGAGATGGTCTATGAAAAATGGATTTGGTGGTTAAGTTTGGGGATTTTTGCATTCTTTTTCTCCCTCTGGTATATTTATGATGGACAATATTTTATTTGGCTCTGTTTATGTTCTTTAAACCCAGTATATCTCAGGCTTAACTGGGCAGAGAACACCCTCGTTCCCACAGGGCTGCTATAAAGTAATTGGGACTTTTTACTGAACTTGAAGCAGTAAAGACAACAGTCATCTTTTATGTGTCTGCTCAGTCAGTGGTGGTAGGGCAGTACTCTTAGAAGAAATCCAGACAATCCCCAGAACAGGGCAAGGTCCACCACCCGACATCTTTACAAAGCAGGGGTTTGGGAAAAAAAAGGGAAAGAGAGAGAGTTGGCATCACAGATTTAATAGCTGGCATTAGAGATGAAGCCATCATGAGCCTGGGGGTTAAGGACAACAATTTTTAAGGGATGGGCTGGAACTTCAAACTACAGAGCTGAATTTAAACGACAGGACAGAAAAACTAGGGAGTATTGCCATATCTCCACATCCGGATGTTCTATGTATCAGTTATCGGTTAACTGCAATTGTGTTTTTCTAGCCTGGTATACAGAATTTTTAGAGTTAACTATGACATTCAACTCTGCAATATTTACTAAACGTTCATCTTTTAAGATTCATCTGCCATTCTTATTACAAATCTAAAGTATCAGCCCCTTTTCTTGGAGGTCCCGAGAGTGAGCCTGGGGTGAGATCCAGGTAAAAGTATTTTAAACAAGCATTCTCAGGTGATTCTTATCAGGCCAGTTTGGGAACTAAGGCATTTGCCTCAAAACGCCTTAGGACTGGTTTATAAATACTAATTCTCGAGCCCTACCTGCAGAGATCTTAATTCAACAGGAGTAGAGCCTAGCAACCTTCGACTCAAATGCACAGAATCCAGGAAACCTGCCCTTCTATTTGCCAGGCCAGGAAATTCTGGTGTTCCCAGAAGGTAGTACTCTCCTTTATTTTGCTAAAAACTTGCACCTAAAAAGTCTAATTCTTTACTAATGAGCTGGGCTTTTAGAAAAAAAATTAAATCTCCTGAGTGGATAGATCTGGGACCAAATATATATTCTTATTGATGAATTCCTTCCAAAATGCAAAGATGTCTCTGTCTGACTGTAAGCAAGGATGCTCGATATTAGAAATGACTATAGGCAAACCCAAGCACAGCCAGGACTGAACTGCAGGTGAAAAATGATCCTCG